TTCTAATGTTACAAAAATTTCAATATAGTAGTGGAAAGTGGCAAAGTGATGAGAAAATATATAAGTACATGATAGGCGGGAGATGGTTTTTACGATTTGAATGACAGAACAAGAGCATTATTGCTCATATAATATTTGATATGAAGTATAAGTAAAATGAATGTATGTTGGATATTAGATACGTATATTTTCTTCAAAGATAACCCGTGTATATTATATAATTGTAGCCTGTAATTAAACAAACGAATTATTTGAGTGGGACATCTGCCCCAGTGAGCCTTCGTTGGCTCCGTCCATGTCCTAGGCCGAGGGATGCAATGTCTGAGTCTCGCTCGTAAAGGCACATTGGTTGAGCGTTACCCGTACGTAATTGGTTAGTCAATTAAAGCGCAATTATAGATTTGGCACGTTTTCTCATAAGTTGATTACAATCGCTGATCATGAATCGATATGCACATAATTTAGCTGAAAAGGCAAGTGAGAAGAAACCATTGATATCAACGGACTAGGTACCGTACCCATGGGTCTCTAACCAAAATTAAAAAGTCCAGCTGAGCAAATTATCTTGAATTCATCCTGTGCATATTTGTAGTACCATAAATAATCATTACCGACCATGAAACATGTATCCAATATGATTGTCACATACTCACAGTATATAGTGATGAGCCGATTCCACATTATATATTTTACCCTATTTTTTGGTATGTTTTGGTGAAATTTTGATACCTTGATGTGTATTTTAAATGTAGGATACACAAATCCATTTTGGGCATAAAGTGATGAAACAATGAAATTTTTCAGTAATTCCAATTGAAGCGGGTTCGTGTGTTTGTCAAAAGGTTGTGTCAAAGTTTCAACATTTAATTCCAAGGCACATGATCGTGGCGAATTAATTAAGGTTCAGCGATTGACGTTCTAGGCTTAATTATGATTTTTGGGCATGAAGATGGCATTTTTTGGAGTTTGACTCTTTTGCAAATTTGAAGGTGACATATCACTAAGCTTTTAAACAAGATTTTTTAGGCCTGATTTGGAGCTAGAATGGTCCAGCAACGTGGACAATTGCTAGCTGTCCAGATTTCCTAATTCGATATGGATTGTGGTTTTTAAGTTATCTTTTTGTTATTTTGTTTCCTAGTTTTTAGAAGGCGTTATGTAGGTAGGATTATGAATAAAGGGCTGTATATAAGCTTCCAACCAGCTTTTAGGGTTCTCTACGCGATATTAAGAGCACTCACTAAATCCCTGGCAAATTGCAAACTACAAACTACAAACTACAAGGGTGTTTTTATGCGTAACTAATTCATTTTGCTAGGGCCAGACTACGAGTCTTAGCATGAAAAGTGATTTTATTAATTTGCCTAATGAATTGCTTTGAATTATTAATTACCGTGCTTAAACTATCTAATTGGCTTAGTGATTTGCCGCTATTAAGATATTTAGACAAGTAATTTGATGAAATTTTTGTTAGAACATTACCCTGAAATTGAGGAGGGCTTATTGTGATTAGTTATTGTAATTTCACTTAAGGTGAACATTGCAATCTTAAGGGTTGAATGGTTTTTCAAAGGATTTTCACAAACTTAATGAGTCTTGCATGTTTATACTTGATCTGAATATCACAGATGGATTTTATGTTAGATATATATTTCCATTTGAATATCACGAGCAAAATATGCATTAGGAAAACCTAACATTCGAAGCATGTATGTGGAAATTCATAAGTAATTGGTAGAATTGCATAGGTTTATTAATGGTGACCACTAACTACTATTCTTCGCCATAAGTGTTTATTGAAATCCATTTTATTCTTTTATGATTTTACCGACTTGTATTTTTAATTAAGGATTATATTAAATACAAATCATGCATCCAATCCTTGTAGAGAATGATCTTGCATGAGCATTAATATTACGACTATTTTATACCCTTGCAAGTATTCTATGTGATTTTAACCATTTTTTGCATAGATACTAAAAATCCTACATATAGTTTAGAACATTTTATTCAATTTTGGGTATCAAAAATCACTGCTCTTCTCTAGCTCATTAACAAGCAAATGGTCAAAGAAAAGGAGATGGATAGGTAAATATCTATTGACACACCCCGACCAAGATCAGGGCGTGCTGGCCGTCACGTGGAAGTGACGTAGCCATGTGCACAGTGCGGAAGCTAATAAAGTAATAATATAAAAGTATGAATAAATAAAAACTAGCATACAAACGATAAAAGTAAGTGTGCTAGCGTAAGTGAAACGCTAAGTTCAGAGCAATAAGTCTACCGCAGTCCAAAATAAAAATGATGCGACAACAGTGCACCCGAAGGTGACCTACATCGGTGAGTGCCTGTCAGAAATGCCAGGAAGCCCTCTGGGGAAACCACCGAACTTGCTAAGCAACTACAACCTGGAGGGGCGCAAAACAAAAGCGTGAGTGGGCAAAAACAAAGCTCTTTGAAAACCATTTAGTAAAATACATTCTAACCCCTCGCCGTAAAACCTGTATACTTCCCAGAAAATAAACATACGTACATATAAATATATATACCAATCATGCCTCAGGATATGCCATGCCAAATCTCACAATGAAATGCAAGTGCTCAGGTGAAAATCATATAGACAACATATAATCTGGCAACCGGAGTCACCTAACGTGACCTGTACGGCTGCATATATGAACATAGAGCTCAACTCTCAAACTCAATAACTGAACCTGCCCACGAGTCGGAACCACCTAAAGTGGTCTGTACGACAGGCTTGGGTGTAACATATATATACACTCTAGTGCTACGATCACGTGAAAGCTGTGCGAATAATCGCGGGTCACCTACGAGTCGGAACCACCTAATGTGGTATGTACGACAGGACTGTGCACCTAACTTGGATCCAAGCTGAGCGTGTGGTGCGGGAGGTGAACATCACGTGAAGGACTGTGCCCTACTCTGGGCGGGAGCACTAACACCGGGGGTGCAGGTTATGAGCTCTCTAAGCATCTCTAACCACTACTGAATGCAAATATTAAATAACGCTTACCTGGCACTTACCTGTGCCTCCACAGCACCAATATATATATATAACCGTATCAATGCATATATATAATAATCATATATGCCACTAACCATGCATAACAACCAATGATAATAAAGGAATGGCATAAACTAATAAACATATACATAAATTTCTGGGAATTATAAGTATATAGGTATATACGGAAAACAAAAGCCCACTCACTGGTACGTGGAAGGGTCGTAGCCCCCCTGCCTCGCGTGAGCACGCTCGTCCTCGGGATACATATCACCTATATGCGAAAATACTATAAAAATGTTAATTTTAAAGCACATAACCTAACTTTCGTAATAACTTCTCATACATTGCTCAAAATGGACAATTGAATATACCAACGTGCTCTACATAACCTCAGGATCACACCAGAATTTTTAGAAAAATTTTTCACCGCCGCACGCGCCCCCACGCGCCGGCCACTCGCAGGCACGTGCCTGGCACGCTGATGGCGTCAACTGACGCCGTTAGGAATATTCCGTCAAAATTGACAAATTCCGTTAACGGCGTCAGGAATATTCCGTCAGAATTGACGGAATATTCCGTCACCTTCTCCGGCGACGTCGCTGGCGCCGGAAACTGGGAAACCTGCAAATCGAGTTTTCTCGTTCAATTTTCAACCGTTTTTCATGATTCTTGCACCAAATTAAACCTTAGGACTAATAGAACACGACCAAACAACTTTTAAGGGTCAAAAACTACAAGATCTTACTTGTCACCAAACTCCAAGTCCGGCCAACTTCGAATATGGCGATTCCGACGTCCAAATTCACCAAACGAACCACACCGAGACTCCTTGGGACCTCACCAAGTTACCTACGAGCTCCATTTTCCTTAAAATGTGAGTATTTACGTTTGCATGAATAGTATCCAAAACGGACCTCGTCGAATCGACGTGAAAACGGTGATAATCTTACCTGAAAATGGTACAGCTGCACTCCCACGAGCCTCACGAGCTCGAAGATGCATTTGGTTCCTTCGATCTGTGAAAATTTGAGTGAGTTGTGTGTGTGTCCGTACGTGTTCGAAGAGAAAGGGAAGAAATGGGAGCACGGGAGAGAGACAGGGAGAGGGACAGGGGAGGTGGGAGAGTGACAGTGTGAGTGTGTGGCCCAACACATGCCAACACCACCCAAAACAACCAATAATGTAACGAAACAAGCTAGGGGTAAAAGTGTCTTTTCACACGTACGTTTTCGATAAATTTCGGGACGGGATGTCACATCTATGAACTGAAAAGCATACTAGATGAAACGAAAGGTAATTGATTGGAAAAGCTTTATTATATCTTATGAGCCTAAAAAACAATAGAGAAAATACAAATGGCAGAATCTCTAGTTTCTTTAGTACATGGAACAAAAGTAGTTCTACCAATTCATGTCACTAGAACAAATGTTAGATCTCTTCTTTCTACTGCGTGTCTTTCTACTGCATCTTAGGATAATGAATTATGATTTATTTAGATCTTTTGGAGGAATGAGAGATTTCCCAGATCAAGCATGCATTAACAAAAATGCCTCTCTCACGCACAAGCGTGTGCATATATCTGCTAGTTTCTAAAAATAAAGGAAGAGAGAAAGAAATTCAATAATTAATAATTTTGTCACTGTTTTATTCCTGGGAAATAATCTGGCAAACAAATTTTCCAGCCAACTTCCTGAATCAGTAATAAATGTGATTTTTCGTTAAAATGAACAGTACCGGAAACTTTTCGTTAAAATTACCTAATAAACTGATAGTTCATATAAAAAACATATATATATATATTGGGAATTGTTATTAGCACTTCAAAAATCTCATTCTACACTCCAAACTTTCTATATTAGGAAAGAAAAATACACTTGTGAGGAGTGTAGAATGAGATTTTTGAAGTACCAATAACAATTTCCTATATATTTCTATATTATATATAAATATATATTGTAGTACGTAAGCCAAGTAAACCGTTATGATTATTCCTGAACCCCTTAGTCAACAAAATCCCAACAAACCATTTGCGATCTAGCTAGCTGGTACAAACTACAATTAATTAATTAATGCTAGCCAGAACCCCTACGTGCTTAGTCACACATTTTTCTCTTATTAATAATTCATTACAATTGAGCATTGAACACAAATACTATCAATCATTTCCACAACTATAGATAATTAATCCGAGCCACGCACCTCTAATAGCACCATATTATCTAATCACACTAAGCAGGCAGCAGCACTAGTAGTACAGCTGCAATTAAGGTAACTTCATCCGGTGGCAGTGGCTTGGTCTAGTTGTCAGGGTGTCTAGTGAACGAGGAGGAGGCGGTGGAACCATGCTGCGGCGGCCATTCCAACGGCAACCCAACCCCTGCAGTAGGAACTCCAACTGATGTTGATGGGCCATTAATAATATTGGTATTGCACTGATCATAAGCTGCTGCTGCGGGTGCTGCAGCTGGGTGGTGCTGATCATTCTGATGATGATGACCATCGATACTAATGTTTTTGACATTACTGGAAGAGGAGGAAGATGATTGTAGCAACCGGATTTGCCTCTTGAGGAACTTGACGTATCGAATAGCTTCGTCTAACATAGAAGCAGTATCCATTTTAGTTCCTCCGGGAACGAGTCTTTGGAGGATACGAATTTTCTCGCTTATCCTCTCGCGCCGGTGACGCGCAGCCACGCTCTGGGGATCATCACTGATTCGCACATTCCGCCTTTTGGGCTTTCGGATTGTAGCTGGATCGATGTCCACCGGCTGCATAGCGGCGATCCTGTACATCATTTCCTTCATAGCTCCAAGCTCTTCTTCACCAGTTGCTGCGGAGGCCTGGTCTTGATCATCTTCGTGATCATCTAATTCCATCAAAGTATTATTATTATTCCCTGCAGCGGCGGCTAGTAGTACTTGATGAGCGTGATGATGATGACGATGTTGATGATGGGGATCGATGATTAGTTGATCATGATCATGAATATTCAAAGGGGAGGGAACATACTGATGATGGGTAGATGAGGAGGATGGGGTTTGATGATGCCCTTGAAGATGGAGAGGAAAGTTTGGCCAAAGAGAAGAATACTCAAAGGAGGAGGAGATCTCATGTGGGAGGATGGGATCTTCCATGCTAACATGATCATGATTAAGATCCTGCCCGCCGGAAGAGTTTAGAGACAGCTTACTTGCATAATCAATATTGATGTCCATGCTTTTCTGTGCCGGTAAATTCCAACTGATGATTATTTATATTGAAAATAAAAATAAATTTGGGAAGATACAAATTCGATCTACCAGTTGATCAAGTGGACTTGAAGTGGTATTTGTGGCCTGTACATGCGATCAATGATAACACAAAAATATAGCACCATTTAACTCGTCCGGTGATTGGCGATCAAACGGCGAAATAAAAAAGTCTGCTAGGTTTTCAATTGAAGCTTTAGAAGGAACGATCCAACACTCACCATCTAAAGGTAGAGAGAGAGAGAGGAGGGAGAGGGAGGGGGGGGAGAGAGAGAGGAGGGAGAGGGAGGGGGGGGAGAGAGAGAGAGAGAGAGAGTATTGGAGCAAAATTTTAGTGAAGGAAGAGGGAGAAGCATGCATGATATGCAACAAAGCAGAATAGGGATGAATTGATGAAATAGAACAAGATAAAGGGTGGAAGGGGGACCCACAAAAGCGATCAAGTGATGATCAAGGGGTTAAATGATCTTATATCTTTATCTGGCAAAGTTGTCTAGGGTCAAGGATTGCACTACTGAGAGCTTGCAGGCTTTGCCACATTCCTAGGGTTCTCTCCCATTTATTTACTTAATATAAATATAAATATATTTATACATGGTGTAGTACAAGCACTGAAATTCAAGCACTGCTTCTTCTTTATGCTTCATGATTCGCTGCTGCGGAGATAATTACTTCGGTTACTCTTTCAGCCAAAATTGGGTTTCGTGCGGGGGTGAGGTTTCCTTGGTTTTAGTCTTGCGTACACACAGTAATTTTTGGGTCAATTTATGGTATCACCAATGTTATAAACGATGTATTTTTCAAAAATTGAATACCAAAAACGTGTATTTGGTAATATTAATTTATAGAAAATTTTATTTTAATCGTTAAAAAAGATCATGTTTTTAATAATACTGTATGTAAAATGAAAAACTAAAAATAGTACTTTGAATCATGTCCGCATCAGCTTATATATTTCATGTCAAATTTAATTACTTTTTTTTTTTATGAATTTATTGTAATTTTTAGTCTGCCTACATTACCTCTATAAGGGATTCAAACACAAAAATTGAATAGCATTTTGTAAATCAAAACTAATGTATAAGGCCTAATGAATCAATAATGCAAAAATTATTGGACCTAACGAATTAAAACATAAAAAATAACAAACCATGCTTACCAAATTGACCAGACGTAATGAACTAAAACATAAAAAATAAAAAAACCCAAAAATACAAACTATACCAAATTGACCGTACTGAATCCATCGGACCTAATGGACTAAAACATAAAAAATACAAATTGTACCAAATTGATCGTATCGAAGCTATCGGACCTAGTGAATTGAAACATAAAAAATACAAATTGACACACCCCGACCGAAGTCCAGGGCATGCTGGCCGTCACGTGAGAGTGACGTAACCATGTGCACAGTGCGGAAGCTAAGAAATAATAATAAAAGTATGAATAAATAAAAACCAAGCTATACACTAAGTAGATAACATACAAGTGCAAGCGTAAGTGTGAAAAACAATATTCAGAGCACAGAAGATCTAGTGCAGTCCGGGGGAACAAACACTAAATAAACACACCCAAAGGTGGTCCTACTCTGGTGATAATCTGTTAGATATGTCGTGAATCCCTCGAGAGCCACCAACAGAGCTATCCAAACTAGAACCTGGAGGGGTGCAAAACAGAAAGCGTGAGTAGGCAAAAACAAAGCTTTTCAAAATCATTTCAATATCAAAAGTACTAACCCCTCGCCATAAAACCTGTATAGCTTCCCAGAAAATAGAATATGCACATATATATAAATCATGCTCAGAAATATGCCATGTCGAATGCCTCTAAATAAAATGCAAGTACTCAGGTAATGTCAAATCAATGCCATGAAATATGTCAGCCAGAGTCACCTAACATGACCTGTATGGCTGAATCTAGAGCTCGAATCTCCAACTCACTAACTATACCTGCACATGAGTCGGAACCACCTAAAGTGGTTTGTACGACAGGACTGAGTGTAAATAAATATGCTCAAGTGCTACGATCACATGAACACTGGGCGAATAATCGTGGGTTACCTACGAGTCGGAACCACCTTTAGTGGTCTATACGACAGGACTGTGCACCTAACTTGGATCCAAGATGAACGTATGGTGCGGGAGGTGAACATCACGTGAAGGACTGTGTCCTGCTCTGGGCGGGAGCACTAACACCGGGGGTGCAGGTTATGAGCTCTCTATGCATCTCAAATCATTACTAAACAAAAATATAAACCATAACCTACCTGGCACTTACCTGTGTGTCCGCAACACCAAACATATATATATATATATGCAACTACTAATGCATAATTAAATAGGCAAACGCAAAGCATGGCATTTAAAATATATAAATGTTTCATTTCATTTTCTGGGAAAATCACAAGTATATAGGTATATACGGAAAACCAAAAGCCCACTCACTGGTATGTAGAAGGGTTGTAACCCCCTTGCCTCAAGCGATTGTGCTCGTCCTCGGGATAGGTCTCACCTATATGCAAAACAACTATAAAAACGTTAATTTAAAGCACATAACCCAAATTAGGTAATAACTTCTCATACCATGCTCAAATGGGATGTATGAATACACTAACGTGATCTACTCAACCTCACGAACATCCCTTATTTTTAAAATTATTTTCCGACGCCTCACGCGCCCCCACGCACCGGCCAAGGCACGGCCACACGTGCCGCCCAGGTGCAGGCACGTGCCTGGCACACTGAAGGCGTCAGTTAACACCGTCAGGAATATTCTGTTATGTTTGACAGATTCCGTTAAAGTTAACCTAACGTCGTTAGGAATATTTCGTCCAAACTGACGGAATATTCCGTCGTCTTCTCCGGTCAACCTTCGGCACTGTCGCCGTTGCCAGAAAACCGGGAAATTTTCTAAACATAATATCTCACTCGTTTTTCACCCAAATTTCACGAAATTGGTACCAAAATGAAGCTTACAGCTAGAGGAACAAATCCTTACCACTTTCAAGCACTAAAACCAATGGAATCTTGCCGGAAAAACTCCACCAAATCCGGCTAAACCTGCAACTCACGATCCCGACGTCCAAAACCTTCAAACGAACCACCCCGAGCTTCCTAAGGACCTCACCAAGCTTCCTACAAGCCTGAAATTCCCAAAAACACATGATTTTACGTGTGCATGAACAGTACTCCGAAATGAACCTCTCGGGTTCGACGTGAAAACGAAGGTTCCCTTACCTGAAATGGGTATGGTTGAACTTCTAAGAACCTCACGTGCACAAATGTATAGTTTTCTTCCTCAATCTACCAAGTTTTCGAGTGTTTTAGTCTTGTCCGTACACAAGCAGAAGAAAAGAGAGAGAGAGAGACTCGGGACAGGAAGAAGATGAGGATGAAAGTGTGTGGGTGCGTGTGTGGTCCAAAATCAGCCTACCAAAACCCCAAAATGACCACACAACGAAACAGAACACTAGGGGCAAAACCGTCATTTTACCCCTACGGTACGGAAAATCCGGGACGGGCTATCACACAAATAGTACCAAATTGACCATACTAGATCTATCAGCCCTAAACTACATAACGTACCTAATTTATTGGACCTAATTTGTTGAACCTAATTTAATCGAACCTAGTGAGCTAAAACCTAACAAATACAAATCGTACGAATTGGCCGTACCGAAATATTAGACATAAACTATATAACGCACCTAATTGACCGTACCAAAGCTATTGGACCTAAATTAGTGCATTCTCCACACAATATCAATTTTGAATAATATAAAAAAACAAAACAAAAAACAAAAAGTAGGTAATTATAGAAAATAGAGATGGCATTTTTTAGACAATGAGATGGAGGTTACTTTTATGGATGATAATGAAACTACGGTTACATTTTTCAAACTTTGATAGTGGACCGAGGTTACATTATAGGCAATAAACATGATATTCTTGTAAATAGTGGTAAAACTTGTGGTTTTATTATAAGTGACATGTCATGATGCATCAAAATGAAGGATATTTTTTAGATATTGAAAACCTTCTAGGGTATACTCTAAAATCATCTTTGACAAGCCCTTATCTCTAAATTTAGTGACTTTAAATTTAGGAGCTTTATTTGTAGAGATTAAAACACAAAATACATTTCATAGAAGTGAATTGTTAGCACTTCAAAAATCTCATTTGACACTGCAAACTTTCTATAATTAGAAAGAAAAATACACTTATGAGGAGTGTAGAATGAGATTTTTGGAGTGCTAATAATAGTTCCCTTCATATAAACTGTATTAGTTTTGAAGCATTTTAAGGTGAGACAAAATCCCAAACCCCAACAAACCTAGCATAAAAACAAGCACACCAAAATTTAAAATTTATGTCATGCCCTCAATAGACTTGTTAATTAACCAAGCCAAAACTACAAACTAATCATCTATAAAAACTTCAAATTAATTTTAGATCCTTAAAAATTACTTTATGCACTTCATCATTTTCACAATTTATACACTTCTACAAGATCAATACCAATATTCCAATAGTTCTACAAGATCAATTTCAAAATTTCAGCATTTATGCGAGATCAGTTCAATTTCTAGCACTTTTACTAAATCAATTTCAAAATTTTAGCAGTTCTCCAAGATTAGTTTCAAAATTTTCAGCACTTTTGCAAGATTAGCTTCAAAATTCCAGCACTTCAGCAAGATTAGTTTCAGAAGTTTTAGCGCTTTTGCAAGATTAGTTTTGAAATTACAGAATTTATGCAAGATTAGTTTCAAAATTTTAGCACTTTTGCAAGATCAATTGCAAAATTCATGCAATTATGCAAGATCAATTTCAAATTTATGCATCCAAATAATCCAAACCTAAAAAATCAAATATTTTCATATACTACTAAACGAAGTCCCAATTGTTCTCATAAAAGGAAAAAAAAAAAACTCATGAATCTAGGGAATACAAAGAAGAGGGGAGGAGAGAAGTATGAATAACAGCTACGAGAGAGAGAGGAAAAAAGACAAAGAAGGAGGAGGAGGAGGAGAGGGAAAAAGAGAGAGAAATCAGGAGACAGAGACACATCTTTCGAATAGAGGGGTAAAAGTAATAAATGCAAAGACAATTAAAAAACAGCTAAATATAAGCTTTGTCCTTGTATGAAATAAATAAAAAAACTTATCTCTCTTTAAAATGAAGTTTTATAATTTGACTGTATAAGTAATTTCTCCTCAATATTATAACTCAAAAAAC